TACGTTGTTTAATAATAATGCAAATTATTGGAATTCGTACAAATGGTACTTGTCCCAATACTTGTCTATCCAATAACTGACTTGTATTATTTGTTTTACTACTTTTATCTTAGCTTGACTCAAATGCTAAGATTACGTGTCTCTTTTGTGAACTGAAATACATCGTTTATAATAATGCAAATTTCAATTATTGGAATTCGTACAAATGGTACTTGTCCCAATACTTGCCTGTCCAATAACTGACTTCTACTATTTGTTTCGCTATCTTATTGCACTCTTTTGACCATGATCTCTTATTCAAAGAAACTTTTTACGATCGAAATTGGGAATAAAGTTGCCTTAATTAGAATTCATTCGAATAATAATAACAACTTTATCCGTTAACTATTGATTAATTTTTCGACTCGTTAATGATCAACTCCGTACAATGACACTAATTCTTGTTTTCAACACTTTTGATAAAATTCATTGATCAAAATGTTATAATATCCTTTAGAAACGTATAATCTTCCGATTGAAAAGGAAACGCGAGTTGGAAGGAGAAACGATTAAACAGTATAAACGATAGAAATCAGAATATCGAGGTTAATTTCAATTCTCGGACGAATTAATAGAGCGATGTGCGGGGGTAAGGGAGCGTGTAACGAGAGCTGCACAAAGACCAAGAGATCCTCAGGCTGCCGAGGGCTGGAAAATCCCGTCAATAAATCAGCAACCGGCCGACCGGTTCACTTTGTTTGACCGTTTAGAACTCGAATCTTGTTTGCGAATCAACTGCGAATCCCTGCCCAAGATTGAACCCTGCTTTCCTCCCCCCTCCTTCCCCCATGGTTCATCCACAGTATCGATACCCGATGTTCCACTTGCGGTTAAATTAAGTTCCAATATCGATCGGAACTGCCTCCCTTGGTGGTGAACAGGCTGACCGATTTAATCGTCGATTTCGCGCGAAACAATCATTTGTTTCTTTTCTCTTTCGTGTCCCTCGTTTGTGATGATAAGAAAATGTGACGGAATGTCACGTGCAGATAAGAGTTTATGATAGCTTAAAGTACTTTATGTTCGAGAAAAGGATTTCTAATTTTATCGAAATTTAAGTTTACCTGTTTTTCTTATTTTTATTTTTATTTTTTTTTTTTTTTAGTTTTAAATGAAATAATGTATCATATTTTATAGATTATAGGATTTTATATTGAATACGAAAAATAGTTTAAAAATAGTTTAAAGTATTTTGTTCGAAAGGATTTCCAATCTTATCGAAATTTAAGTTTACTGTTTTTTTTTTACTTTTTAATTTTAAATGAGATAATGTGTTATTTATAGATAGGATTTTATATTTGATACGGACTTTTAGACTAAAGACAGGTTAAAGTACTTTATGTTCGAGAAGAGGATTTCTAATTTTATCGAAATTTAAGTTTACCTGTTTTTTTTATTTTTATTTTTATTTTTTTTTTTTTTTTTTGGTTTTAAATAAAATAATGTATCACTTATAGATAGGATTTTATATTGAATACGAAATTTTAAGAATAGCTTAAAGTATTTTATGTTCGAAAGGATTTCCAATCTTATTGAAATTTAAGTTTACTGTTTTTTTTTACTTTTTAGTTTTAAATGAGATAATGTGTTACTTATAGATAGGATTTTATATTTGATACGGAATTTTAAAGATAGCTTAAAGTATTTTGTGTTTGAAAGGATTTCCAATCTTATCGAAATTTAAATTTATCTATTTTTTTTTTTTTTCGTCTTAAATTAAATAGATAGTGACTGTTCGCACCCACAACAATAGCATCGTAATGGACTGTCAAAATGCATGGATACACGTGTCGAATGCTCTTTCTTCACTGAGGTGTATACGTGTGTGTGAGAAGAAGCTGGTTCTTGTGATTTATATTAACATTATTTCTTAAAGATGAGCATGCGCGTGTTCATAAGAGAGCAGGATCTCTCACGATATTACATCAGGCACGATTACTCGTCAGATTGCGACTCACCCTCTGTTCACCCTCTCTTTACCGAATGAAGCTTCGAGTGCCCTCAGAAAATCCTTTCCTAGTTCGATTGGAAAGATCTCAGTTTCTCTTCCACTGGGGGATGATAATAACCAATAACACGACTGATACGTGACACACCCCAAGTTAGAGGGAAATTCCTCGAATGATGTTGGCTGCCGTTGGACGAGCACGTGTCTGGATGGATATATCACTTTTGGGATCGCTCCAACTAGGCTGAAGCGTGTCAAAAATATCACAATTGCCAGTGTCGACTTCTAAACTCTCAAAGAACGACGATCTTCTTCAGACAACATTCTCATCGTTCGTTTAGACTTAATAAACATCTGAGTAGCGATGACAAATAGAAAAGGATTTTCTATGAGGAATTTTTGTTTCTACAAATCTCGCGAACAAATGACAATTGCCAGTGTCGACTTCTAAACTCTCAAATAACGACGATCTTCTTCAGACAACATTCTCATCGTTCGTTTAGACTTAATAAAGAGCGATGACAAATAGAAAAGGATTTTCTATGAGGAATTTTTGTTTCTACAAATCTCGCGAACAATAAACAATAAAAATACTTTTGAAATAAGAATTTCAAGAGTAGATAGGATTCGATAGGAGATAATAGTCTTCCTGTATTTCGAAGGAAGATTAAGAAGATTTCCAATGGTATTTGAAATTGAAGTTTCTCTATCTCTTCGAATCAAACGCGATAGAATTAATAAGAAAGGCGACTACTTACAGTGGACAGTAATTTAGATTCTTTAAAGCGTTCGTTTGTGTACCGTTTGGAAATTTGCGCGGGTAGCAACGTTGCCTTCTCCCGTAACACTTTGCACTCCTCTTTGTAACGCCGAGTAATTTCGTATTCCGTGACACAATTCAATGTTCACCAGTTTGTAACTTTACTTCGTTCGTTTGTAATGTTGCACGCCGTATAACGTTCCGATGTTTTCTAACGTTATTTAACAGGGGTGTCCTTCCCTCTTGTGAAAATTTCCCTCTTTGAAATTTCCAATCCCCGATGTATACATATACACAGTCAAAAACTGCGGATGGAAAGAGAAAATATTTTCAACATTTTTCATTTTCGATCACTTACCTTACACTACTTGCTTGACTAATGACTCCTTCTGTTCGTTTTATCCTATTTGCTTGAAATTACATTATTTGCTTGAAATAATTCCAAACATTCGATGCACAGTTTTAATAGTGAAAAGAATCTATCGAGTATACATCCTGCAAATATTCTATCGAATTATTCATTTATTATTTTCACTCTCAAAGGGTAAACCTAGATTTATTTATTAACGAAAAATTTCTCGAATCGAATCCTGAAATGCTGAAAATTCCTTCTCGTCTTAATTCAATCTCTCTTCTTTTTCTTAAATTTCAAATTTCGAGATTACTTGATCGTATAATCTTTTTGCATTCGTATACAAAGAAAAGAAGGTGGAACAAAGGAGGAGGGGGAGATACAAAAATTTCCCGTTTCTCATCCTTCATAATTTTGCGTTCGACAGTGGATATTTTTCTACTTTTATTTATATATCTTCTTTTATTTTTATTTTTTCGATATCCAAACGATTTATTCCCTTTGAAATTCCGCTAATCCCCNCTAACCCCCCCCCCCCTCTTCCGGTAAGGAATAAATAGAGGCGAGCGATTAAGCACGTCGCAAAGATAACATCCCGTGTATTAATTCCAGAAACCCTCCATAACGCTTAATCTGATTTATTGATAAAGTTGCGGCTTCGCGTACCCCTGTTGCCCTGCCCTCACATGCGCGCCATCACATCGATCGCCCCCCTCCCCCTTTCCATTCATACACGTTTCGTCCGATTAATTTTACAGAGCATCGAGTGCATTGTAAATTAAATTCCATTCAATTAACCGATATTCCTTCCGGATTTATTATTCGGAAATTTCAAAATTTTCGAAGAACATCGTCTTCGAATTTTTGAATATATATAATATGAATATATTTTTTCTTTTTTTTTTTTTTTTGAATCGTCGTTGAATTGAAATAAAAATCAGTTCGATTAGGTTTTTTTTGGGGTGTTTCGAAAGTATGAAAGGAAAAGAGAAAGAAAGAGAGAGAATCGCAGAAATTAAAAAGGGGGGGAATGTTGATTCGGTCAGAAGAGTGGGAGAATTAAATTTGGAATCGAAATTCGGGTATTTATTTAAAAAGAAATTTTTCAACTCAACGTTTGAAAATTTCATCGTTTGAAAGAATAATTAGAGAGTTTGTTTATAGGATATTCATCTATATAGGTGAGATTAAAGTGATTAAAGTTTAAAAAATTCTCAAAGTACGGTGAAGTTTAAGTGAAAGATATTACTATGCTCGATCGTAAAAAGAAAATGCGTTATCGCCTATAATTCTATGCGCTAACATTTTCGCTGTGTAATGCACCATTTAGAATGCTGATGTTCAAGAAACGTAACATCACTCCAACATCATTTTCTCCGCCGATATTACGCCTGAAAAAGTTATCATAAACTTACCACGTATACACTTTTGATACAGCAGAGGAAAACTAATGGAGCAACAATTTTCAATCGTTAAAATAAATCGACGAAAGTAAGAAAAATTAAATTAAAGATTGTTAAAAAATTATTTGTTCAAAAAGAGTATGTATCTTAAAAAATTCCACGTTCTACAACTTATACACGTTTAGAAAGATTCATAAAGAGGGTGGAACAAAGCACAAAAAATTAGTACACAAAAAGTATCGACGAAGCTCACTCATCGGTTAAATTACAAATCTATATCTCTGTCGCTCTCTGTCATTCTATCTCTATCGCTCCTCCTCGTCCAAATTAGATCCCCGAATAAAAACTTGTCATTATTTCTAAATCTCGCTCGGCATACGCATACGTGTTAAAAAATACAATAAAAATATTTACCAATTAATATTTACAGGATCTTTATTTCGGTAAGTGAACCAATTTATGACAGGTTACAACGTTTTTTTTTTTTTTTTNTTTTTTTTTTTTTTTTTTTCTCGATCATTTAACCTCTCGACTTGATCGTCGATCCGATTAATCGCCTCCTATTGCGTTATCGATCGCGTTCGCGTCTCATATTTTCATCTTTTCTCTGATATTTAAAACGCTCTTCTTTTTTTTACTTACTAGGTTAGGCTAGCCTAGCCTCTCTCACTCCCCTTACCCCCTCTCTCCATAAATTTCTTATCGCTTTCTTTCATTCGTCGTGACTCTTTTTCCCCTCCGTTGTGGTACTTACTCTTCTCCCTCACACACACTTTCTCCTGGTAATTGGTTCGATGAGAATTGAGACGCGATGAAAAATATAACGGTAATTTCTTTCAAAGTAATAAAACATAGGTAGGTGGCAAACGAATTCTACGTTGGGGGCGTATTTCGGGGGATACATTCGCGGGGATCGATCGAGGATGAAACGAGTACGCTTGTGATCGTGTTAAATGGGAAATTTTAAAGATAGATGGAAATTTCGATTTGGAAAAGAAAAATTGGAATAATGGATTTAGAAAAAAATTATTTGTAAAGTGAAAATATTTTCATATGCTTTTTTCTTTCTCTTTTTCGAAACGAAAATTAGATATTATTCCCACAGTCACAAGCGTAAATTAATCTATTCGAAAAAAAAAAAAGAAAAAATCCTCGTTTTCCATAGTGTTACAAATATAACGGTGGAAAAATTTACATTTTTCTCGTTCGAGTACTCGTGAATGCAGCGATGGGTAAAAAAGAAGATGGATTTCTTTCCATCTTTTTCTTTTTATTATAAAAAGGGTGTTAAACGATGATTTTAATAATAACACGATGGATAAAATTTTTTTTAACCACGATTCAATCGGAATTAAAATTATTCCTATTGTCTAGTAATTGTCCGAACGGATATGTAGAGATCCAAAAATTTATTTACAATTTTTATAAAGCGATTAATTCATTTGTTCTCTCTCGTTCTTTTTTTTTTTTTTTTTTTTTTTTAAACGGTTGCATTCATAAGTTCTCGAGATCGAAGGTTAAATAAAATCACGAGATTAAATTGTTACGCAATTTCTTGTATACATTGACTATCGTATAACCTTACATCGCTAAACACGTTAAGAGATAGGGGTTCCGGTTATGTTTATACATTTTTTTTTTTTCTTTTTTTTTTAGTCCCACGTTTAGGCGACGTGCGAGCTCGTCGATAAAACTAATTAATTCGTACGTGAATTAAAAAAAATATATATATATATATGTACATCTTCTAATTATTATTTTTAGAATAATTATATAAAATTTTAAAAATTCTTTTCGAGTTTTATACAACGATGAGATGATCCAATCATTTTATTTTCGATTATTAACTCAAAATGATGCTAAGATAAATAAAAAGAATAATAATAAAAATATCGATTTATATATCCCGTCGATATCCGAAGATTATGTTTATTAAAATTTATACTTACCAATTAATATTTTAAGAAGAGAATAATTTTAATTCGTTATTATTTCCTGATCACAATGTCGGATCAACTTTAATTAAAATCGTAGCATAATTACATTTTCTATCAACACGAACGTGTATGCTTAAATTAAATATTATATTAAATTAATATTGTACAATAATAAATAGATTTTCGACAATTTATCAATTTTTTCAAAAGAAACTCGTAAACAATAAAGTTAGCAGCAACGATCTTTATCGACAGCTCGCCAGAACGTCCAGAATCAAACGACAGAATCTAATAGAGCACCGAGAAACACCCAACCACGTTTTTTCACCTACGAATTTTTAATTATTTATTTACTCTTTTTATTTATTTATTTATTTATCTATTTATCTCTTATCTATACGTATTTACACACCGCATGCACGTCTATATAAGACACACACTCTTACTCGTTTACAAATATCAAAAGGATCTCGCCTGATTTCTCTCTTCTTATCCCTCCTTCCATTATTACTCCTCGCCCAATTCCCAACCCCCAATTCGTGGCTCGCCTTCGGGGCTCGAATTGTTCCTGCTCGATCGACGCGAACGGTTCGAAAGGCGAGCCAAGAGGGCTCGAACAAAATAGAGTAAATTTCCGGACGGGACGGCAGAGAGAGTTGTCGAATGAATGAATTCGTGGAGCAAAGGGGAAACTGTTCCTCGATCGTTCACTCTTAATGAAAACGAAGAATTAGAGACATAATCTTTCTCGATAGAATGCCATTATAATGAAATTCAATCCTGATTTTTAACAAAATCGTTGCGATGGAGGGGTGGAGTTTTTTCTCTGAAGAGAAATAATTGCAGCGTTTCTTTCAATTCGTATTTTATGTTTTATTTCGTTCAATTCTTTTCTTTTTCTTTTTTTCTTTTTTCTCTCGTATTAAAATATAAAATCAGAATAAATTTGACGAATAGAAGTTATGAATATCATGTTTCATCGCGTGAGTAAGATAATCAGTTCCAATTATTGCGCTCGAGGGGTGGAGTTTTCGTCTAAAGAGAAATAATTGTAGCGTTTTTTTAATTCGTATATTATATTTTATTCCGTGCAATCCTCGATCGTCTTTCTTTTTGATCGAATATATCAGTTTTATTGTCGAAGGGATTCAGATTCTCTCTATTTTTTTTTAATCTAATTTAAAAATTAAAAATATCGCGAAGACGATAATCTCTGAACGAAGGTAAAACGAAGATAAAATATATTAAAAGCGGAGCAATTCTGAAAAGTCAAACTCTTCTCGAGGAACAAGCTGATCCAGCTCAATTTACTTTCTCGTCTGCTTCACGATTGTGCCGCGCTTTATCTCCCCCCCTCTCTCTCTCGTTTCTCACTTTCTCCCTCGAAACAAACGAAATATCCTTCTAATGGTATTTACTCCGCGATTAAAAAGGGATGCAGCAACCAAAAGTGATTGCAACGCGGGGAGAAAACTTGCTAAGAGCGAACTTTCTAAGTTTAAAAAATTTTATTCGTTCGCACGAATTTTTACTTTCGTTCGTCGAAGAATTTTTAATATCGATCAATGGAAAAGTTCAGAAGCCGATCTTTCGATCCGCCAAAAAAAAAAAAAAAAAAAAACGAATCGCCCGTTTTAAATTTATCGACCGACGAAAGTTTAAACGATTTTAGATCGATTTTTATACCGATTCTCCCGAGGTCGATTTTCAATCAACGAACCTTTTCTTTAACTTAATCATCGACGCCTAAACGAATCAAAAAGAGCGTAATGAGTGTAAAACGATTCGCGTAAAATTCACCCCTCATCGTTCATCATTGAACGAAACTAACTCGTCCCTTTCGTCGAGGAAAAAAATCACAATTTCCACGTTGTTCCACACACCTACGAAGTCGAAGGCCTCGAACGTTTCGGCCTCCAAAACCCTGAAATTATTTCAGTTCAGATACCTCGATCGTATCGACGATATTACGTTATGCCGAAAAGAGGGGGTAGGGGGTAGGGGGAAAGGGTGAAGGATGAACCGACGCGAGGGGAAAGGGGGGAGGGGTGGAGGTGGAGGATCGTTCACTACCCGTGGTGATAGTAGATCTTGCCCTCGCAGTTGCACGTGGCGCCGCAGAACTTCCGCCGTTCGCGGCCCTCGTTCGTGTTCGTCTCGCAGACCCAGGAGCGGAACATCCTAGCCAGCTCGACGCAGTTCGACCAGAGATCGACGTGGTGGCACGCGTTCGTGCAAAGCTTGTTCCTCGAACAGTGCTCGTTGCACATGGTGCACGGTTTACCGGCAACGTATGGGTGGCCCAGCCGACCTTTGTAATTCCCGCTGTAACCGAGAATTTTTCGTTGATTAGTGATTCAGGTGTAATAGGAATGTTGTGATAAGAATTTTTGGATAATCATTGGGGCTGGTGGAGAAGATTCTCTCAAGTTTGGAATATTTGAAGATATGTCGAATGGTATTGTTTTCCAATATAAAAAAAAAAATCTTAATTTTTGCGTAAATGGTGATCTGGCGGAGAAAATTTTTGGCTTCAAGTTTGGAATATTGGAAGATATATCGAATGATAGTATTATTTTCCATTGTAAAAAAAAAATCTAAATTTTTGCGTAATTAGATGGTGATATGATATAGATATATAGAGAAGATTCTTGTTCTCAAGTTTGAAATATTGGAAGATATATCGAATGATAGTATTATTTTCCATTGTAAAAAAAAAAATCTTAATTTTTGCGTAATTAGATGGTGATCTGGCAGAGAAAATTCTTGGTTTCAAGTTTGGAATATTGGAAGATATATCGAATGACGGTATTGTTTTTCATCGTAAGAAAAATCTTAATTTTTGCGTAATTGGATGATGATTTGATGGAGAAGATTCTTGAATTCAAATTTGAAATATTGGAAAATATATCGAATGATAGTATTATTTTCCATTATAAAAAAAAAATCTTAATTTTTGCGTAATTGGATGGTAATTTGATGGAGAAGATTCTTGATTTCAAGTTTGGAATATTGGAAGATATATCGAATGATAGTATTATTTTCCATTGTAAAAAACAATCTAAATTTTTGCGTAATTAGATGGTGATCTGGCAGAGAAAATTCTTGGCTTCAAGTTTGGAATATTGAAAGATATATCGAATGACAGTATTGTTTTCCATCGTAAAAAAAAATCTTAATTTTTGCATAAATGGTGATCTGGTGGAGAAGATTCTTGGATCGAGATGTGATTAGTGTTGTAATAGAGGATTTTTGGTTAATTAGAGAGTTTGGTAGAGGAGATTGAGTTATAATACGTCGTTGTGATAGAGAATTTTTGGTTAATTAGAGACTGGTCTAGTGGAGAAGATTCTTGGATTTCAAGCTTGGAATATTGGAAAATATATCGAATAGCCGTGTTTTGTAATTGAATAGTGATCAGGTGAAGGTAGTATTGTTTTCTAATCTAAATTTCTAATCTAAAAAATTTTAATTGTTCCTGTAAACAAAGAATTTAATCAAACGATAATCTTAAATTTAAAACTAGATACAGACGAATACATTAAAACGTTGGAAGCCCTATTCTATTTTCTCATCTGTGTCTCAAGTTTTGTGACGACTTTTTTATTAAATTTTTCCTCTTCATAATAATCATCCTTCGAACAATTGCCATTTACAAACTAATCATAATTATCAAAAGAAAAAAAAAATGCTTGCTTAATTTTGCAAAACTCTACTCGTACCAAAAAAAAAAAAAAAAAAAAAAAAAAGAAAAGAACAATTCTCTAACTCGCAATCGAAGCAACTTCCCTTCGTTTCGAAGGACAGGACAAAAGATTCTCCAGATTCTCGTTCATTTCTCCCCATCAATTTCGCCCCATCCTCCCCCTCCCCGTGGCAAATGCTCCCCTAATAACTCCGCGTTTACCCGCTTCGAATCATTCTCCATCCCCCTCCATCCCCCTCCTCCAAGCAATCTTTGCCTCGACTTTACTTTCAGACAATTAAGCCGTGACGTTTCAAGACGTTTCACGATTGCAGCTCGAGAACGAAGCGACTTTCCTCCTCCTCCTCCTCCTCCTCCTCCTCCTCCTCCTCTTCTTCTTCTTCGTCTCGAGCCGATCTTCTTCGGTTCGAGTTTCGCGTTCCGAAAAACGACAAACAGGTTGGGAACGAGGGTTGGGGCCAATCCTCTCCGATTAATTTACATTTAAAGTATTTTTCGTGGCGAGCCGCCGCTTTGAATTCAAATGACCCGCCGTGAAATTAATTACGAGGCCGCGTAACGCCGGATGAGGGGGGGAAAAATATTACCACGTCCCTTGACAGTTTTTATTTATCGTCGAAATGGAACGGTGCACGCGGCGCCAAACGGTGGCCAGGAAAATTAGGAGAATTCAAGAATTATAATTATTATTATTATTATTATTATTATTATTATTATTATTCTTTTGAAAGAAGAAAGTCGAGTTTTGCGGTGAATCGAAAATTAGGAGAATTCAAGAATTATAATAATTATTATTATTATTATTATTATTATTATTATTATTCTTTTGAAAGAAGAAAGTCGAGTTTTGCGGTGAATCGAAATTTAAAACGCGAGCAAGTGGAAATAGCTTACCGGTCGGGTAAATTATCCCGACAGGTGAAGTGAAAATAAATAGTCGGCCGGTCGGATAAGTAGAGTGAAATGATCGTGGTTACAACAAGTAGTACGGGTCGGCCATTTGTTCGGATAAATGGAATTATAGTTGAATACGGTGTAGAGCAAGAGGAGGAGGGGGTTTATGTTTGACAAAATTAATATAGGAAATTTCTAATAAAATTGAACATTGAACGAAACTTGATATTGGAAAAATGAAGTTTCTGTAAGTTTTAACTATCGATGAAGGTAAGAAGAAAGTTCGTATCATCGATGATAGGAACATTGTCTCGATGGCGAATAGAGAAGTTTGGAACTTGGAATATTTTTTCGCTTCCTTAAGATGGTGATTTTAACGGAATAGTTTTTTTCTCTTTCCAAGGGAACTCGTTAACTCGAACTATTCCTCTGTATAAAATAATTTTGAATTTCTTTTTTTTTTTTCTCGTTGCAAAAACAATACAATAAAATTGGAATTGATCTTCTTGCAACCGGTAAACACTTGGTCCAATCGGATCAATCGGGAGGGAAAAAACCGAAGTCAAATTGCACGCGGGAATTTCGGGCATTTGCGAAAAATTGCTAAAGCTGCTGTGCCGCTTTGATAATATCGCCATATATTTTATTTAAAACGCGATAAAGCTTTGCTGTTCGTCCCAGTTTTATGTCGAAAATTTGACGTTGCGGGATGTGTCAAATATTTTACTACAATTTAAAATTTTTATCCTGAAGAAAGAAACGATGCACCCTTTAAAAATTCCCCCCTTCCCAGTTTAATTTTAATATTTTTTTGTGCAATAAAAAAGAGAGAGAGAAGGAAGAAGTGAAAATGAAAATCACGTAAAGAGCGTGATTTTCTCGCGAATAAAAAAAAAAAACGAAAGGTTTGCAAAGGGTGGCCAAAAAGTGGATGCACGCAAGGAGAGATCGTAGTAGAAGTGGGTCAAACGTCAGACGATGTCTTCCCTCGAGAAGACGTGCCACTCTTCTCGGCAAAAAGCAACACTGGATACGCCATCTATTAGGAACACTTTGCAATTCACTCCCTCCCACCCCTTTCTCCTTTTTTTCTCCACGCGATTCAACAACGCAATTCAATCGTGCACATTAAAATTCCTCTCTCGCGTGTCACTTCGAGGCGTCGATGATGGGCAAGCGCTGCGAAGAAAGGGACGCACAAGAAGAATCACAGGAAGAAAAGTAGAGAATAAATCTATGTAAAAATCTCAAAGATATTCGAGTAAGAGAAGGCGCGTAAAGAAAGACAAAGAAAAAAGAAGAAGGGGAAAGACGAAATACGAAGCAGGAGAATAAATTTGCGACAAAGTGATGGCGATGGAAGAGAAGCGTAGCGTATTTCTTTCCGACTTGGGATCATCGATCGAATTAACGACGAGAATGAGAGCTGCTGCGATGCATTTAAGCCGAGTTACACCGTAATCGGATAGAAACGAGGCAGAGATTACGACGAATGAATAGCCGTGGAGCGTCCTTTCGGAATTGGGGACCGTTCGTCACAGTTACTCGTCGATGGAACACGAAGGGCGGCGCGAAACGAATGGACGGATGGACCGCGAGCGATGCATCAACGTGAATTTTCCTCGAATAGCTCGTTTACGTTTTATGAGATCGCGGAGAGAAACGTGTTTCACGATGAATTTTCCTTTCAAAGAAATTCTTTCCACCGGGTAATTATAAATAACCAAAACCTAATAAATTAAAACTAAAAAATAAATTTTACAATATTTAATTATAAATAATCAAAACATTAACAAATCAAAACTAAAAAATAAATTTTACAATATTTAATTATAAATAACCAAAACCTAATAAATTAAAACTAAAAAATAAATTTTACAATATTTAATTATTACCAAAACCTAATAAATTAAAATTTAATTTAATATTAAATTATATAAATCAAAATTAAAAATAAAATTTAAAAATTTAATATTTAAAATTTATTTTTATGAAATATTTAAAATGAAGCTTCTAACTTTATATAAGACTTAAAAAATCTATATTTCTTATTATATTTAATTCATTTATATAGTTTAATATAAAACATTATATTTTTAAGCGAGATTATATTTTATATAATACGATTTCTTTTTCCTCTTCTTCTTCTTCTTCTTCTTCTTTTTCTTCTTCTTCGTCCACGTATAGTTTCGTTCCGCTTCCGTCCTTCTCTCGTCTTCGCTATTCGATTCTCGCTCTTTCTTACTCATCCTCGGTTTATTTTTTGCGAGGAGGGGATTTAAACGATGGACAAGGAGACAATAACAGGGATATAAAAGGGAAGATAAAGATAGGAAGAGTTATTATACGGATCGGAAAAATTGGTTAGACAAATTTGGGAAAATAAGAAACAGTCGATAATTAGTACAACTAAATCGAATTTCCTTCTGTATCGACTGTTCCATTTTTCCCTTAATTCCATTGCTATTTTTGCATTCCAAATCTTTTTTCGCTCCGAACCAATAACTTCACGCGATTTCCCGTATCAGTTTGCTGAATTTCTTAGCCAACTTAAAACGATTTCACGAATTAACGTATAAAACTTTTATATTCTAATATTATACGTATCTTTAAAGAAAAAAAATTTGTTTTGTGTGATATTTTGCATCCTCGGTTTATCAGGCGTGCAAATATCGCAAACCTCGCAATAACGTGCTCCCACCGTCTATCATTCTTATTTTTCATTCCTTCTATATTCTTCTTATACTACATCTCTATACTTCTCTCTATCGTCAATTTCTTAACGAATAGAAATAATTTCGAATATTAAATAACGAGAAATCGAACTCATCTTCGCTCCAACTAATTTCATTACCGTATTAATTATCAAAATAATATTAAATTTTCAATTTTATTATATCCATTATATTTATTAATATTTATTAGAATATTAATTGAATTGAATCGAACTCCATTTGATTTAATTGAAGGAGAGTTAGTTTCTGGATTTAATGTTGAATATCATAGGGGTATATTTGTTTTAATTCTTTTGTCTGAATATATAAATATTATATTTATAAGGAATAATTTTAACAGTTATATTTTATGGATTTGAATATTAATCTGTAATATTTATTTTGACTTATATTTTTCATATTTGTTTAATTATATGGGTTCGAGGAATTTTACCTCGAGTTCGATTTGATAAATTATTATATATATATATATGTTGAACAGAGATATTAATATTAATTATAATATATTTAATATATTTATATTTAATAAAAGAATAATTAATATTAAATTAATAAGTTCCATGCTTACAAATCTTTGAAAATAATATTTCTAATTCTATTTCAACGCCGAAAACGTAGTTCGATCCCCGATATCACGATCCAATTTGAGTTAAAAAAAATCTCTAACCATTCGACAGAATATTATTCCACGCTCTACAAGATTAAATACGTAAAGAGCATAAATAATGTGATATTCTCCGATATTTTTAAGAAAGTCGAGCGTAAATAAATATCGCCGCATCGATCCAAGATGATCGAAGAAGAAACACTCGAGTTATCGAACCGAGCTGCGACAGGTCCACCACCATTCGAGCGCAAATGGTTAACTTTCCTGTACGACCGTGCACAACCGTGTATAATAATTCGCGGAGGCAGAGCAAAGTGGGGAAAGTGGGGAAGAAAAGAAAGGGGTGGGTGGAATTTAAAATTACGCGCGTCGAGGGTCGTCGTAAATTCGTTTCCCCGGCCGCAATTTTCCGGATTATGCCCGCGGCCTTCCGGCAAACTTTTCGATTACAATGAGCCTCCCCTCCCTCTCTGTAAATTGCCAGCTGCGTCCACCTACCTACGCGATAATTTCCAACTAGCTATCGCCAAGTGTGATTACACTTTCCGCGCGCAGCATGGACTGGAAATCCCATCGATACTCCATTTCATTGTCCTCTCGCTCGGACTCGCTTGTGCTCGGTGGATCGATTGGAAAATTTAATTTCAGAGCGGGGAAGAATCTCGTATTGTACGAGATTTTAATTTTGACGCGCGAGATTCGAGCAATCTAATAGTTGGAAAAGAAAATTTTTACGGTTTTCACTTTGTTTCGTCTTCGAGAGAATCGAAATGAACGAATACGAGGAGGAAATTTGTTTAAATTATTATTACAGCAACGGAAAGAAGAGACTCTTGTAAAAAATTAGAGGAGAATTTCGGTGTAAAATTGGATAGTGGTTGGTAATTTTGAGAAATGGGGTTCGTTGCTGTTTTCCACTCGAAAGGAGGGGAAGATAGGGGGGAGTTTATGGAGATATTTTTGAAACGAGCTCGACGAAAAAGCTCTGGTCGCTTGAACGGGAACGAAAGGAAAGGAATCTGGACGCGGCTTTTCGAAACGAGGGAGACGAGGGGGGATCGTGAGTGAAAAGACAGGATTACGAGGAGGAGGGGAGGAGGAGGAATTCAACTTTGCCGCTTCAACTTTGTCACGACACTTTGTCGCTCTGTCCGCGTTTGTATCCCTTTCATTGTTCGCTTTATGCGTATCTTCCTTCTTGTTCCTTAACGAGTGGCTCTCCTAATCGCTTAGGCGATAGGCAGAAACGAGGTCGAATAATATTACACTTCCAAAATTCGATCAAAAGTTCTTTTTTTTTTTTAAATATAACACGAGAAAAAGTCAAAACTAATTTACTTATTGACTATCACTATTGCAAGATAATGAAAATAAAATTTGTCCATGAAAAATTATATCTGTTTTAATGTCTTTGCCAAAATTTATGCTTGCCAGTTTTGGAAAGGATAAGGAATTAAGGATGGAAAGAGGAAGGTAGATTATATAATCTCGAGAATAAAAAAAAGAAGATACACTCACCTCGGGGCATAGTTGCAGACGTACATAAAGAAATCCTTTCCAAGTGGTCCTCTGCCACCGGTACAGTGGCTCACGCCGCAGCCCACCAGATGCGTGGTCGCCCATGCGATTTGGGTGTAATGCCCGATTTCGTGTAGATCGTTCGCCTCGTCGTCCCCGTATTTGTAATCTTTGTACTCCATGTACCACATTCTGATCGGGAAATTCCTGGAAAAAGAGGAAATAATACCTCGAAATAACCGATCAGTTAAAAAAGAGTCGATGATGCCTCAAACTGATGTTACACTCGAACGATCATCTACTGTCGTAGCTGTGTTTAATCGTTTATGTCATCAGCTTCGAATGAACGAATGAGCGATTTAATTATAATTTAATTGTAACTATATTTTGATGCAAATTATCGTATAGTTGTTGAATTCTATCTATATTCTATGTTCTATATTTTAACTGATTTGGAAGAGACTTGGTCTTGGTTTTTCCTCCAATCCTTACTTTTTATGAAAATGCGAGCTGAGAGGGGGTTGAAGGAACCAATAGTCACATTGGAAAGCGGTTTCGAAGAATGGGCCTTCGCACAAATTATTTTCTCCGATTTTATAGAGATTTAATTTTCAGATTACTTCATAACGATTTAAATCAAAATAGATGTTTTGAGATGTCATATATAGATATTATAACATTGAAATTTAAATGCTTCTTAATAAATTTATAAATACAGAATATTTCTCAACTATTGAAACGTGAGCAATTAGTTTCAATATATATACGCGTATTTTGTTCAATCATTGTGAACAAGTTTAAAAAGAGGATTTAAAATTTTAACATATAAGACTTTTAACGTATTATAATTGAAGTATTATAATTTTTTATAAATTTGAAAATGAATTTTCTCCACTAGATATACATTATTCGAACCACTGTGGTGTTTAAATTGCAAAGGATCTAACATTAGGAAGATACTCGAGTTGTTGAAAATAAAAACCGTGTCTTGCGTCTGAGCCACGCTTTTCAAGCCTTGTACATCTGTCCTTAACACGATCGAACGTGTAAACGTGAACAATGAATTCTTTCATCGTAAATCGACAATAATCGAGAGAATTATTTGCGTTGGAATTCTCTTCTCCTTAGAGAGAGAGAGAGAGAGAGAGAGAGAGAGAGAGAGAGAGAGAGAGAGGAGCGAGAAGAAGAAAATCAAGTCAATTAAAAATATGTGTATAGATAGAGACAAGCAAGTCTTGATTGGAATTCGAAAAGAAAATGCAGAAGTGGCGTTCGATTCGGTTCGGTTCGATTCGATTCGATTTGGTTCGGTTCGGTTTGGTTCGGTTCGATTCGGTTCGGTTCGGTTCAGTTCGATTCGGTTCGATTCGATTTGGTTCGGTTCGGTTCGGTTCGGTTCGCTTCGATTCGGTTTGATTCAGTTCGATTTGGTTCGGTTCGGTTCGGTTCGGTTCGGTTCGCTTCGATTCGGTTTGATTCAGTTCGATTCGGTTCGGTTCGGTTCGGTTCGATTCGGTTTGATTCAGTTCGATTCGGTTTGGTTCGGTTCGGTTCGGTTCGATTCGGTTCGATTGGATGTCGAACATCAACAGGTGGCTCTCTAAGGAGAGCGACGAATGCGAGAACGAGTTATCATTAGGCGGAAAAATAGAACAATGTCGGATCGAGCTCGAACTTTTCTGAACAATAACACTACTTTTCCACTATTGCCAGTGTTCCGTGTATTTATATAAATTTATTCGTATCGGGGACGATGAATAATGTATCGTATCAGGAATCTCTCTCCTGAAGAAATAGTTTTTCAAAAGTTGAAAATTTAAAAAATTTTGTTTCGTCGTTCTAGAAAGAATTTTCGCTGAGCTTTTCTTTTTTTGTATTTTTAACCGTTTGAAATTCGAAGCGTTCAAAATGATCGTAGGTAGATTGCGATATTTTAAATATTGTTTAATTTGTATCGTCCTGGTTAATGATAGTAAATATTGAAATTCACGAAATGATGATTTCGTTAATATATAATATATAGAGAATGAGAAAGATAAAGAGTTAAATTTGATCGAATATGGAAATTTAATTAAAATGCAGATAATTAATTAAGCGATTAAAATGCACGAAATATAATTAATGGATACACGAGGAGATCCTTGACGCAAACAGCGTGACGAATTATAAATCTGACTCGATTTATCCTATGATTGCTTTTTTTTTTTTTTGATCATTGAAACGTTGTCATGTTTTGTTACATTCGAAATGATATTTATGTTTTCGATCGTAAATATAATTTTCATAATTTAGAACGAAATATTTGACGTAAAAAATATATAACGAAAGGACAGACAGAATAATAATAATAATAATAATAATAATAATAATAATAATAAAAGTAATCATTGTACAATAAATAGATACTTTAAAGTTTGATAAATAATGACTCGTTCTTATATAATTATCTTTTTAAAAAAAATTTTTAGTGCGGGTATTTGAATATTTCGAAATCTAATTAAATTTCATAAATTCATTGGAATTAATGGAATTTTCAGTAATGAAATTACGGGGCTAAATCCATTGAAAACAATAATAAACAATTATGAATTAATTGAAATGATATCGACGTGGTAATTTGGTATGGAAATAAGGAAGTCCATTTCTCATAGTTGCTCGAAATTCCATGCTCTATGCATCAGAATTACGCGGTTACTCGAACACATCATAGAGACAATCATCCCCCAGCAGCGCGAATAATCCTTCCTTTCGCCTCACGAATAATTTTGCGCTCTCGCGCAACTCGAGAAAGAAGATTTCTTCGATGTGAATTTGAATAATAAAAAATTTCGAGAATCGTAGTCGCGTATATTGTATTAAAATACATTCTCGACACGGAATATTTCTTTTTTTTTTTTTTATATATATTTCGAGCTTCGCTTAATTTTAAAAGGTTTAAGAAAGCTTGAAGAAGATCGAAAGAAAAAATTGACGTTTATTATATCTGTGAATTTGTAAAATATAATTTTTTCATTTTTTCTAAAATTTGTTAAAATAGTACGACGTACTAGGTAATTTTGTTCGAAATTATAAAGAAAATTAATAGGGAAATGAATATAAATCGTATATTATATTCATCCGTTCCAGATTTAATAAGAATAGAGCAACGAGTGTTGGTTAAACATCGTAGCTGGTGTACTTTCTGATGCACTTTGACTCGTAAATCGCTCGAAATCGTTTCTCGTCTGAAAGAGGTATCCCAGTAAAGCTTCGCGATCTTCGACGTCTTCGAACGAATCTTGGAACAAATTCAAAGGCAACAAGGTGCTACGGTGCCTCTTTCACGGAGAAATCGAGTTATCTTAAAATTCTATAAAATAATTCAATGCCCGTAATATTCATTTTGATCCACTCCTTTGTTCTTCTAAGCAAAGGAAGATTAAATTAAACCGATATACAACCTAATTTTTACGAAATATTTATAGGAAAAATTTTCAAATTTTTTCCCCAATTTTTCTGATTTTTAAGAATCGTGAAACATTTAAAATATGTGCACTCACCACAATGTCCTTCTCGTCGTAATGAAGATGTTTTGTCCGCTCTGTCCAAAACCATCCAAATATAGGCCAGTCGCGTTGTCGTGTACCAATCCAAGGCATCGATTGGCCCATCTCTGCGCAGCTTTGGCCAAGCCTGGATGCCATTTCTGAAACAGCGTACCAATGTTTTCCTAATAATTTACATACATTAATCGAAAATTTGGGAAAACGAAATTTCAAATTCAAATGCAAATCAGGGAACGGAATAGGCGAATGTTGGATCAAGTTCGCAAACGTATCGGGATATGGTAAAAATTCGGAGGAAAAGAGAGAGAATGGAAGGTATTCCGAGAGTGCATGACTAATTTATTAAAACGAATTGTCACGAATTCTTCAAAATAATTCTAAAAATATTCTCGAAAACGTAAACGTATATATTTAGAAAGAAACAAAAAACGAGGAATCAGAACGAGAGAGTCAGACAAGAGGAATAATAGTTAGAAAATTATTCGCCCATAAAAATATTGAATAAAACGTTGGAGAGACAATTTTTAAGAAATTTCGCAAAAAATATATAATAAAAATCTTTTAAAGTCAAACAATTTTATAACTAGATACAATCTTGGCAAAAAATTTATCGAACCATTCTTCCACGATATTCCCATCCTCGATGAAACGAAAGCGACTGTAACGTCAAGTGCCACTTCGTTTGTTCCAACTCATCCCATTAATTTTCCACCCCGGTATCGTTTTAACGCGAGAGCGATCCTCATAAAAATTTATAACTCATCGCAGACCTTACATCCGGCTATCGAACCGGCTCGTACCTGCCCTTTAAGCTCCCTTGTAACAACGTCTCGATGACTTTCTCCCTCCCCGTGAACACTGCGAATTTTCTAGCCTCGTTCTATTCGCCAAGATTAAAACGACACAGAGGTAAGGTAAATGCGTCGTCGAGCCACTATCCTCGTAATGAAACACCGTGGACCGGTGTTTATTAAAATGCACGGCTTATTAGGAAACCCTAGACGCGTTTATGTCGGTAATATAAGTATTAGGAATAGTGCAAATTTTTAGAGTTCGAAAGGTTTAAGGTTTTAAATTAATTTTAAGTTTAGAGATCGTGCCATGAAATTTTATATCGATTTTCTTTGAAGAGATCATGGGTACAGCGGTACTAGGGAACCCTAGATATGTTTATATCAGAGTATTTGAATATGGTGTGTGAATTTTTAAAATCGGAGATTTTAAAGTTTTAATTTAATTTTAAGTTTAGAGATCGTGCCATGAAATTTTATATGGATTTTGATTGATTTTGTTTGAATGGATCATCGGTACAACTTACTAGGGAACCCTAGATATGTTTATATCGAGATATTTGAATGTAGAATTTTTAGAGTCGAAAGTTTTAAGATTTTAATTTAATTTTAAGTTTAGAGATCGTGTCAGAAATTATTATGAATTTTTTATCGATTTTTGTTAATTTTCATTGATCATGCGCAATGAAACGTTGTAGATGAATGTTCATTCAAATGTACAGCTTACTAGGGAAGATACGTTTATATTACGATGTGAATTTTTGGAAATTAAATGTAATTCTACGTATGTACGTTTTTGAAATTAGAAGAGAAATTTTTACGAGTAGATTTTTGTTAATTTTCAAATTAACAAAAACGTACGTTGTTTGGAATTTCTATTTAATACGAATTAAACGGGTTGCTTTGTTTCAAAGTTAGAATCCATTCGTTAAATGCAGCGTTGATTCCATTAATGCATTCTACTCGTAGATGCTCCATAATTGTTCCAACTACGTGGACGTAAGATAATTGGACTAATTGCATTCGGTAAAGAGTCTGTGAAACTTTGCCGGAAGGAAGTTGGATGATTTTTCATCTACGCGTACCGCGTAATCAATTTTGCTCGAAACTCGTGAATCAACTCGCTCGACCTACAATTTTTCATTATTTTCGAATAACAAAAATTGTAATTCCTACTTTTAACTACTCTTTTTCACAAAATCACGCGTATCGTTCACAATTCAAAATTAAATTATGAAAAAAAAAAAAAAAAGGAAACAAACATCACACTTTTCACGATTTCTACTAACTACTTCTTCCTGATACTTGCATTAATTCCATCTACGAAATTGAACAAAGTTTTCCAATATCTCCCATCCCATATAATAATCTCCATTTAATCGATTTCAATCGAAACGCATAAAACTCGTGGATCGGCTCGATTTTATCTCGCCGTAAAATCGGCGAAACGTTTTCACGGCCTAACAAGCTACCCAAGTATCTTTGCCGTTTCGCTTTAATCAACGTTCCAATTACCAGCACGGAAAGTTTTTCTATCGGGTGGATTAAAATGCGTGTTACACCGTTCCCGGGTCAAAAAATTGAATTATATCGCTTTCAACGTTATTACGGGAATTATCGAGAAGCTTTCTCACTCCCCCTCCCTCTCAATGTGATTCTGTTTCCTTTGTTATTGCCCCCTGGATAACCTTCTTTTCGCTCGTCCAAAACTTTTTTACTCGATGAAAATCTCGCGGAAATCGCCAACTTCCTTCTTCTCCTTGATTCTCTTTACGAGATCTCGAGATTATTTGTAAAGAAGAGAATAGAAGAAGAAGAAGAAGAAGAAGTAAAAAATTATTCTTTACCCTTCGCGTAATTTAAAATCTCTAAGTTTGTAAATTCATTCTTTTCATCTTGCCTCGAAGACGTTTTTTTAACGTTGTAAATTTGAAAAATTCTGAAGAGGACGAAAAGAGAATTCATCGCATAAAATCAATGATTGTTGCTTCGTCCTGCTTCGTTCCGATGATTCGCATGAATAGGATACTGTTAAAATTGAAATTTTTCGTAAAATAGATAAAGAAGAAATTTTCCAATGAAGAGTATTTGTTTTCTCTCTCTCTCTCTCTCACTCTTTCTTTATTTCTTTCGCTTCAACTTAAGTGTTATAATCAACGCGCATGGAATTACCGAATGGAATACTAAGATTGCAAATTTTGTTAAATTCTTCGTACAAGTTGGATTATCATATTTTCATTTTGAACGACGATTTACGTGCCTCGAAATAGCGAGTACGAATGAAATATGAAAGCTTGTAAATTGCGTTACATTCGAAGAGTTAGCGAAGTCTGGAAAGATCCGAGGCCGAGTTGGAGAAGTTGTAGAATACAGGGAAATTATGTAGATTTTCGAGAGTTATGGAGTGTTTAACGCGTTTTATATCACGCCACTACTTTGCATAAAACTTTCAATAAACGAAGAAAAATATTGTTTGCCGCTCCCTTAAAGCGAAGTCAGTCGCGGAGTGAGAACGGAGGATCAAAAATTATATCAGAAATTACACAGCACTATTTTTCTTTAATTAAATCTAACTTTTAAATTACACCGTCCAAACGTTTACCTTTCTCTCGGCCATAGAAGAAAGCTTGGAAGTTTTTGAAGTTTAAAACTTGCACGATATCTCTCTCTCTCTCTCTCTCTCTCTCTCTCTCTCTCTCTCTCTCTCTCTCTCTCTCTCTCTCCCTCTAGTAAAATTCAAATTACGATTATTAATTTGCATTAAATTAAATTTATGGAATATTTATATCGCCGAACTTACAAGTGAAATACATTTCAAGATAAGGAAAATCCTACGATTCTTCAAACTTCAAAAATTTTAAATAGAGATATATATATGTACCAGTTCTGTTCCTGAAACGAAAACACTTACAATTAGGTCAAGGGACAGGTTCTGGACTATCAAGAAAGAGCTATATTGTATCGCGAGGCTGAAAAACATCTTCCACAAAAATCTTCTCTGGTAAGAAAATTACGTAAGAGAAATTGTTTTCCCTCCTTGGACTTCTCCCTCTCTCTCTTTCTCTTTCTCTCTCTTTCTCTCAGTATATACAAACGACACCGCTTTAAAGGAAATGGCATGGTATATCCAATGAATTTTTCCTTATTCTGAATCGCATAACTCGGTTCGATCCTGCCGATCCATAATCAACTACGTAACGACATAATCTACTCAAACCACTTCCAACTCAAACACGGTCAATTATTCAGCTAAACTCAAGACTCGCCGTCCGCAACTTCGAGACGAATTAGTCGTGTGGCGAATCGTAGCGACAACTGGAGCGAGCCAAATGGTCTAGCAACAATCGGCATGCAACAATTTTGATGATGAAACGGACCGAAAACAACCGATTTCCTTTTTTCTATCTCGTGGACAAAGGCAAGCAAATCCGTTACTATCGAAGATAGAACTAAAATCGAAACTAAAAAATTTAAATCGATCCACCTGCGTCATCGTGTTATTAATCTACGAGACAAGCTCGACGTGATCGAATTATCAATTTGAAACCGTCGATTATTTATTCCTACGCGGTTAATTTCGATCGGGGAAATCGTCGAAGTTTTCCAATATATCTCGATGATTAAAATTCGAAATTCCCCCCCCCNCCGGATCCTCGGATTAATTAAACCGAATCAAAAGTGGGGAGGAGGGGGTGGGTTGGAGTCGCATCCCGATTATTCGACTATATAACGAAATGCGCCGATACTTTAACCCAAAAGGGGATTCATCATCGTTAATGGCCGTGAATAATCAGGATCAATGGTGGCATGACTTATGAGATTATTTATTATGCATTAACCGTAATGGCGGGGGAAATATCCGTGAAACAGCGGGCCGATCCGTCCGCCATTTTGGGTTTTACCGGCGCGTGCAATCAACTTAAAATTCATCATTGGACGGGGGCTATAAACCTTCCCGTTGTTGTTAACAACGGGGGAGAGGGGAGGGAGGGGAAGCGTGTTTAATGGCAAACGCGAAAGTAATTGTTTCGGATGTTGAATGAACAGAACGGTATGCGACGTGATTGATCTCCCGTGACCAAACAGTGTACTCTGCTTCCCTCCCTCCCTCCCTCCCTCCCTCCCTCCCTCCCTTTCTAGATCCGATGGATAATTCATGCCTCGGTAAAATTGCGCGAATAAAAGGGGATACTTGTTGTTCGATCATCGAATATACTTTAAACGTATAATTTAAAATTGATGATGATTACGAATGGAATGATTTGTTTCCTATTCTTCTTGTTCTGCCTTCGATGGATAATTTATTTCTCGAATAAAAGGGGATACTTGTTGTTCGATCATCGAATATACTTTAAACGTACAATTTAAAATTGATGATGATTACGAATGGAATGATTTGTTTCCTATCCTTTCTGCCTTCTAGATTCGATGGATAATTTATTTCTCGAATAAAAGGGGATACTTGTTGATCGAATTTATTTTAAACGTATAATTTAAAATTGATGATAATTACGAATGATTTTTTCCTTCCTTCTTGTTTCGAGTTAATTTCCATTGTGACCAAGCAATGTATTCTGCTCTCTTCTTCCTTCCCTGTTTTATAGATCCATAGATAATTTATTTCTTTGTAAAATTGCGATATTTTTTACTTATTCGATGATCAAATTTACTTTAAACGTATAATTTAAAATGGTGATAATTACGAATGGAATGATTTGTTTCCTATCCTTCTCGTTCTGTCTTCTAGATTCGATGGATAATTTATTTCTCGAATAAAAGGGGACTTGTTGTTCGATGATCGAATTTAAATAGTACTTTAAATGTGTAATTTAAAATTGATGATGAATACGAATGGAATGATTTTTTTCTCTCCTTCTTGATTCGATGGATAATTTATGGTTCGAATAAAAAGGGATACTTGTTGATCGATTTACTTTAAACGTATAATTTAAAATTGATGATAATTACGAATGGAACGAAATGATTTTTTCCTTTCTTCTTGTTTCGAGTTAATTTCCATTGTGACCAAGCAATGTATTCTGCTCTCTTCTTCCTTTCCTGTTTTATAAATCCATAGATAATTTATTTCTTTCTCTAAGTAAAATTGCGTTATTTTTTACTTATTCGATGATCAAATTTACTTTAAACGTATAATTTAAAATTGGTGATAATTACGAATAGAACGAAATGATTTTTTTTCGAGCTAATTTCTATTTTGTGACCAAACAGAATGGAAAGTATATTCTGCCTCTCTTCTTGCCTCTCTAGATAATTTATTTTTAGGTAAAATTGCGCGAATAAAGGGGATATTTGTTCGATGATCAAATTTACTTTAAACGTATAATTTAAAATTGGTGATAATTACGAATGAAATGATTTTTCTCCCCTAGTTTCTAAATTTTTATTTTTTTCTATTAAGTATTCTTCTATTAAATAGATTTGCGAAATGATTGGGTTGAAATGAAAGAATGTACAGTGAGAAAGAATATATTTAATAAACGAAATAAATTATATTATGTAGATGTGGGTCATGCCTTTGTTCTACTACACCGAGGTCGCGATTCAAAAAAAGACAAAACTGTACCCAGTGACGACACACAATTCACGCATAAATGTACAATGAGTCGAATCTTTACATATATAAACTCAACACAACTTCGATTCGTTTTATTTTCTATCAAAGATTGAAGAATTTTAGGAAAAGGTTAATTAAATAAACTTCATAATTATTACGAGCAATTGAAATGAATTTAATTGATAATAATCATTACCACTTAGAATTATAAATTACTTGAATTGACAAATTTTAAAAAAGGTTTAATAAAAATTTTTAAGTAATTCCATAAAAAAAACTCGACTAAACACTCTGGACTAACCATTCTGAGCGATTCGTATTAGGAAAAGATTATGGAGCGAGAAAAAAAAATACCCGTTTCACGGTCGATTATCTCGAAGCAAACTCGTCAAACCGAAATAAACAATGACCAGAATCACCCACGTTCAAAGGCAATTATCTCTAACCCTCTACCACTCTTGCGCCACGTTGAACGAATCGATTGCATTTCACCAACGAGTCGTGTCGGATTCGATTATTTCTCGAAAGTAAAGTATCTGCGGCCCGTTTCAATCCGAGTGGAAAACATTTCGTAAGAGGCGTCGTTTTTAACGATCCTCGGTTTCCTTATCTCTTCGAGGCCAATGAGCCGCGCCTTCTGAAAAACCGAGCAGTTGCTTTCGTCGCGATGGTTAACGAAGCGTGGACGAGGCACAAAGGGATTTTCCTCCGGATTGCTCGAGCCTTCGTTTCGAAATACAATACCCTTTCTTTCTCGAAAAGAGAACTTCACCGATTTTGCCAAACCGTGATTATCGAGAACCGTAAATTATGCGAGTTATGCTTTTCGAGTGGTTTTTCGAGAAAGAAAAAACACTGTGACAGGATTAACGAGTGGAAAATAGGAAATGTTTACGTCTATTCGTAGATAAAGATAAATATGTTTTGCTCGAGTCTCGTCGTTGGAATAAATATTCGATGCAATTTCTTTAATTTTGAGTCATGTGCGTGAGAATTAAATTCGATATCGAATCTTTTAGAGGATAAGACAAAGTGAAAGAAGGTATATGTATTATATTATAAAAATATTAAATTTTTCATCTAAGTATACTTTTTATTTTCGACGTGTAAATAAAACATGGAACTGATTAAATCTTTTATTCATGAAATACGCGCATTTATGCGAAACAACGCAATACCACCGCCGATATAGAATTCGAAATCTCCCTTCTATTTGGCTCGATAATAAACTAACGTGTGGTAAAGTTAGAAACCTTCGTTCTCGTGGAATATCGTGGGCTATACGTTTTCCCTCTAACGCGCAATAACAAAAAAATATCGTACGAAACTTTTGTCCCATTGCCGATCGACCGAACGTCGAGTACAAAATCGAAGGGAAATAACATTGTTTATAGAGAATAGTTTTCGTAACCGTGATTATGTAAACTGCAGTTCGTGCGTAAAGTTTAATGTCGATTTTACTCGGATAAAACGATCCGAAAGTAATTTCCATTTCCGCGATAAAACTGGCGGCGGCGGGGGGATATCGATGCGTCACGCTTTTCTTTTTTTTTTTTTTTTTCTTTCTTTTTTTTACTACGATTATTATGGAAATTGCGATCAAAAGTTAATCCCCCCGTGCAATTCTAAAAATTTAGGAAACCGAATAATTAAATGCATTACTAAAATTCACGAATCCTCCGCGACTCAAAAATTTTATCAAAAAAATTGTATCACAAATCGTCCCCTGTTTCCAAACAACAATTTCCAAAAAAAAAAAAAAAAGAAAAGGAGAATCGAGCGTACAACAAACTCTAATTAAACGAAAAATCCCATCTTTCAATCCGAATATACGTAAAAAGTTCCAGCATTGCAGGCCATTTAATTCCAGGCCAACGATACAAGAACAATTTACAATTCCAAATAAAAACACCGAACGATTTCCTAACCAAACTCTAGCCATTCGTATATCCCGCGTATATAATTCATCGAAATATATAGAAACGACTGAGTCGAGTGCAACGCGAGCTTGTTTCACGTCGATATCTCGATTCGTCGCCGAGATAAGAGAAGGGAAGTTCGAAAGTTCGCCCGTTTAAAATGCACGGACGCGCCAACGATGAATGGCGATCGAAATTCTTAGAAACGCGCTGACCTAATCCTTCTCTCCCCTCTCCTCCTGTCCAAATGTCCACTCGGTACCCGTGGTGGGGGGAAAAAGCGATGACTCAGCATCTGTCGTTGACCAGCGCACAAGTGCTGCGCTTGGGACAAGTTTGAGTCACGCGATAAAGAAATTATGCGATATTTCGGTAAGAGGAAACAAAAAGTAGATCAAAGAAGAAAAGTAGATTGTGAAGGTGTGAATTATGGGGAATAGGCGAGAGATTTGAAGTTAGGCTGAGGTAAAGGCTTTGTGATATTTTAGTGGAAGGTGGTTTTTTTCTTTTAAGGTAATAATTCCCTATCTTTCTCATACTAATACAATTGTTACTTTTATCTAAAAACTAATTAGTTTATATTCGTGTTATCCCGTATTAAAAATACAATAATCTGATAACACTTTGTAAAATTTTTTCTTATATAATAATATAACGTTATAGATTATTATCATTAAAATTATTATCATTTGATTCTTCCTTATAATATATATAAAATCTAAAAGAATAATATCGTTTAAACACATTGGAGAATCGCGCATCGATTATATGTTCGAACGAGAGAGGATCGAAATTTGAAATTGGAATAAAAATATGATGTACGAAACATACATAGATGACTCACCATGACCAGCATATTAGCAGCTGGAGGCTTGACCTGGGTGCGAAGATAGTTATGGGTATCGACGATCTTCTGTCGGACCTTGCTGTTGCTCGTTCTCAGCAACTTGACAGGCACCCTCTCCCCATAGAGCCTCGGCGCTGAAAGCAAAGGCAAACGTTCCTCTCAACAACGTCTCGATAACCGATACTCCTTGTCAATAAAACTCTCTCCCTCTCTCTCTCTCTCTCTCTCTTTACCCTCTTCATCCCCCGTCTCCCTTTCTCTTTACACGCGTTGCTCCATTTCCTTCCCTTTCGACCATGGAACAAGTGTCCGCTTTAAAGGGTGAATATCGACAACGCCAACTCGAAACGAGCAATAACGTTCTATTTTCATACCCTTTACCCTGTTTGCCGTCCATGTCGAAACGAAGGGGGGAAGAGGAAGCTTCCCTGTTTCGAATATGATGCGAGGGGAGTTAACTGTTCTTAATAACACAAACGTGAATATATATTTTTTTTTTTTTTATAAATTCTTGTAGAAGGATTTCGATTTCTGTAATTACGTTTCTCTTCTTCGTATTAATTTTATAATAATAATATATACGATGATGCCTGTATCGATACCAAACTTGGCTTCGAACTTTTTTTCTATCCTTTCGTGTAAAACGTGCATCAAAGAAAAAAATAAAAGTAATAAAAGTAAGTTCGAATAATATCTGAATTCTCTCTTCGTATTTACGATCAAAAGCTTTCGAGCTTCCTTCTATCATCACAGGTGAGGATAGACAATTGAAAGGTTCCATTACATCGAAAGATAAACTAAATACAGGCTCAGCCAATATCGATACGATTCTAAGAAAGGAAAAAAGAAATTTTTTAAACGATGTTACAATTTAACAATCGTTTCAAGAAATTGGTGCTAACTTCTGATACTTCTAAATTAAATATATATATATATATATAAAGTATATAAAATTATAACTATATAAAATTAAACAAAAGTATTTGAAAAAAAAAAAAAGAAAAAGAGAATTGATAAAAGATTTCATCCTTCAACCTGGTTAAATGTTCCACAAAAGAAATTCCAACAATGGGTTATTCCATGGTTGATAGAGCAAACGAAAGCTCGGTTATTAAACCAAGTTACGCCCGTGTCCGAGAACAATGGGTCACACTTGTTTTAAGGTGAACGGCCATTTCTACACCACCACCGCGGCGTTTAAGTCGTGATACACCCTCCGTGTAATTTTTGCCCAATTACCGTCCAACAATAGGGGCCGGAAAGCGTCTATTATAAAAACCTCGTATATCACCCCGATCTCGGCCGTATTTCACTCGGTTGCGGAACGTCCGCGATGCAACCGGTTCGTAAAGCCACGCAACGAGCGCACCGGTTAATAGCTGATATAAGGGAGTGCTCGTAAAAAAAAATCTTATTATCCGACTCTCTTCCGCCTTTGCGAAACAATTAGATGGCGTTGCTACCGGCCTTTATATATCGGATTTTTAATTTAGTTATACGCGCTATACCTCTTTATTTTTTAAAAGTGGGTTAAAACCGTACGACTTTTTTTTTTTTTTTTTTTTTAATTATTACGAAAGTTGAATTCCATTCGAGAATAGGGTAGAATCCTTCTTGAAGGATTTAATTTTGAAGATTATGGTGAATTTAGATGTTTAGATTTTTGAAGGATTATCATGTTTTCATAAATCGAATGAGATGTCGAAAGTGTGGAGAAAGAAGGATTATTTTATTTATTTTTAAAAATAATTATTTTTAAAAATGTGGGGTTATTTTATTTATTTTTAAAAATATATGATTTTTTTTTAATTATTAAAGTTGAATTCCATTCGAGAATAGAGTAGAATCCTTCTTGAAGGATTTAATTTTGAAGATTATGGTGAATTTAGATGTTTAGATTTTTGAAGGATTATCATGTTTTCGTGTTTTTAAATATCGAAAGGAAGAAACGAGAAGGAAGGATTATTTTATTTATTTTTAAAAATGGATTAAAAACATATGACTTTTTTTTTTAATTAGTACGAAAGTTGAATTCCATTCGAGAATAGAGTAGAATTCTTCTTGAAGGATTTAATTTTGAAGATTATGGTGAATTTAGATGTTTAGATTTTTGAAGGATTATGTTTTCATAAATCGAATGAGAAATGTCGAAAGTGTGGAGAAAGAAGGATTATTTTATTTACTTTTAAAAGTGGATTAAAAACATACGACTTTTTTTTTAATTATTACAAAAGTTGAATTCCATTCGAGAATAGGGTAGAATTATTCTTGAAGGATTTAATTTTGAAGATTATGGTGAATTTAGATGTTTAGATTTTTGAAAGATTATCATGTTTTCGTGTTTTCAGATATCGAAAGGAAGAAACGAGAAGGAAGGATTATTATTATATTTATTTATTTTTAAAAACATATGATTTTTTTTTAATTATTAAAGTTGAATTCCATTCGAGAATAGAATAGAATCCTTTTTGAAGGATTTAATTTTGAAGATTAGTTAAGAAACGAGAAGGAAGGATTATTTTATTTATTTTTAAAAATGGATTAAAAACATACGATTTTTTTTTTAATTATTACGAAAATTGAATTCCATTCGAGAACAGAGTACAGAATCTTTTTTGAAGGATTTAATTTTAAAGATGGATTATGATGAATTTAGATGTTTAGATTTTTAAAGGATTGTCATGTTTTCGTGTTTTTAGATATCGAAAGTGTGGAAGGAGGAAGAAACGAGAAGGAAGGATTATTTTATTTATTTTTAAAAGTGGATTAAAAACATACGACTTTTTTTAATTATTACGAAAGTTGAATTCCATTCGATAACAGAGTACGTAAGAATCCTTCTTGAAGATGAATTATGATGAATTTAGATGTTAGATTTTTTGAAGGATTATCGTGTTTATCATAAATCTTTTTCCATAAATCGAATGAGATATCGAAAATGTGAAAAGAGAAAGAAAGGAGAATAAAGGAGAAGGAAGGATTATAATATTCGTGGAAGCGATTCTAATTGTTGAAAGTGGTCTCGTATTTTGCATACCATTTCTTGACAACATCTTTCGCGATCTCCATTACAAAGTTCCAACCATTATCACCGGTATTTCCATCCTCCACAAATTTAACATCTAATTAAGAGTCCCTTTGAACGGAACATTTCCCTAACACCTACCCATCCTTTGTCTAAGAAACTTCTCGGGTTACTTTATCGACGAGTCCATTTACAGAGCAAACACGAGACCCATTTTTCGTAACCCCTACCTGTATCCTCAATTACAATTTTAATTAAAAAAATTTCTCTCACTCTTCGCCCTACGTTTCATTAAGAAGAAAAAAAAAGGATATATATATATAAGGAGAAATTTGTTTTTACAAAAAAAAAAAACTTATTCCTTTCGAAATAGAAATTTATTAATAATCACTTATCCTTCAAAATATATTTCGATTCGATTGTTCGTACAAAAAGAAAAAAAAGTTTTATTCTTCAAATATTACGAAACTCGGTTCAATTTTCCACGAAAAAAAAAAAAAAAAATTCTACACTCAAGTATCCTATTTTTATCGATTCCTTTGAATTACAAAACTCAAAAAACCAACTCAATTTTTTTCCACAGAAAAAGGAAACCTCCGTTTACATTATTTAAAAATTTTTCAAATATTTCAAAACTTTGCCAAAAACACAATTTTTCACGGAGACATTCTCTATTCGCATTTTTTTTTTTTTTTCTTTTTTTCCCCTTTCAAAATTGTCAAATATTCCAAACCACCGATTCAATTTTTCACACAGGAAACAAAATCTCTACTCTCATCCATCATTTTTCTTTTTTTTTTTTTTTTTTTTTTTTTTTTTTTTTTTCATCAATTCTTGGAAACTCAAACTCGATTCCATTTTCGGCGCAACACCTCCCCCAGATTCAAATCACCAAGTCCCCGATCAATATCAATCCATACGTCTCGCAACGTAAGAATTTTTCTCTGATTAATGGGGGGGGGGGGGCTGCGAAAACTCTGGCCCTCGACAAGTGGCAGATATTACTCACACACAGTTGGAGAAACTTTGCCACCTATGTGCGCGGTAAATACGAATCTTGCGGATTTCTTTCAATCGTGGATTCGCGACGACATCTGGCACCACTGGATTTTGCTAAGAGACCGATTCTCCATTTCTTCGCATCACCGGCCACTTTTCTCTTAGACGCGAGGCAAAAAATTATGAGACCGGTTTTTCATCGATTGTTTTTCTGTTAAACCATTTGCAAATGGATTTCTCCACATTCTATTTCTTCTTCATTCCTCTCCCTCGATAAAATTAATATCATTAATAGATTAATAACGATAAATTTTGATGTACCAAAGGCAGAGGTTGAAAGAAATTTATCTCTGAGGGAAATGAAAGGTTGAGAAATTCTAAGATTACGATCGATAACAAGTTCTCATTATCGAACGTTCTATTATTAAATACTGCTGAAATATCTCGTTACTATTCTTAAAGAAAATTCTATAAAAATTTCCATATTTTACAGAATGCAATTTCCAAAAATCTTGATTAACCAAGACACGAGTTGTTCCCCTGTTCGATCTCATTACAGAGAGACAATCCGGCCAGGCGATAATCATCGATCCCCCGAATGATCGCAAATTATCGAGTCAACGGGCAATGCGCATTATCCCAGATCGAAGGAGGCTCGTCGTTGGCGCGTAATCAACGACGAGCTTGATCTCCTTACCTATCCCACCTATTATCCCCAATTTATCGCGCTCTCTTAGCCATCATCTCTCGGCTGATCGATCGGATGTTTATCCACCTCGTGGTGTGGGTGTTTCGATAAAATCTAGTGCAGAGGACAGCCTTGACAAGCTCCGCCTTGATCCCTAATTTAACATTTCAGGACATTCCAGGTTAGACCTGGCTTTTTCTCCCTTCCTGCTCCTCCTCCCTCCAAACATCTTACGAAAGAATGGCGGCCATCGTGGTTTCCTTCTCCTCGAGGAGAAGAGGAGGGTTGGTGGAGGAGGGTTGATCCTGCTTAGGGTTCGAAACAAACAAACTTTGGAAGAAGTTGGTAGGTAGAGGAGTTGGTTTCGAGACGATCTTGTTGTGAGGGGTGGGGCGAATGTGGGCAAGTACTTGAGGGTATATTGGATCTGTATCGAGTATTTTTGAAGAAGTGGAATCTCTTTCTACTCGTTGAGGATGAGGTTTTTTTTTTTTTTCTGTCGATTTATTGGAGATCTCGATTGGGATTCAGGGTATTCTCAATCTTTTATTCATTCTTTTTATCTATCGATCGTGAAGCTTTTGGTAATTTATTTTACTTTGGGAATTATCTCGTGCGTTGAAATGGAATTTGAGAGATTCGTTGATTTTTTTTTTTTTTTTGTTTCTTTGTTTATATCGATCTTGGATGATACTTTATTGGAAGTCTTTTGAGAGCATTGGAATTTTTATTAATTTCTTTTTTTATTTTGGCACGATGACTTTTCGTTAATTATTTATCGAAAATTCTTCTAAAATAATATTTTCAAATTCGTGGAATTTATGCGAAATTCTTTAAATAAATTTTTTCTCCTTTTTAATTAAAAAAAATATGAGTTCATATATATATATGGAATATACATGGAAATTAATATATATATTCTTTTATTTTTCTTCATCGTTTTTAATTCACGTTTGATGAAAAAGAAATGAAATATTGGCAAAATATAAATTCCAGCGAATTTGGAATTTTCAATGCTTCGAATTTTCTCTTTTTTTTTTTTTTTCATTTTTTAAAAAAAAAGTGTTGACTGTAATTGCATTTCGTTTCATCACCCTCGTTACACGTTTTAATTTTCCCTTTGAGAAACACGGGGAAAAAGGAGAAATTTCAATTTCTAAATCCTCCTTTTAACTTTTTTCTCCAAGAATTTCCATCTATTCGTATTTCAAGTATCAATAAATCAAGCGCTAAACTTTTCACCGATAGTTCTATTTTTATTATTTAAAATCAATAAATGATGATTCGATCGACAAAAGACAGAAAAATTAGCTCTTTCTTTTTCTTCCTCCTCTTCTTTCTTTCTCATCTTTTCTTCGATTTGTTTTCCTCCCCTCAAAATAAAATTTGACTCGCAAATTACAAAATTCCTAAAGCAGTTTCGCACGAATTCCCCTGACCTTTGTTTATATCAACTTTGTACTTCCTCCTCCCCCTTGCCTCGAAATATTAGAAACGACCAAGTTCAGAGTTTGGGGTAACAGGTGTGCATAATGAATCCGTGTGCAACCTTCTCTCCACCTATCATGTACACACCGAATGAATATTATGAAAAAAAATTCGGAACGACGTGGCCACTATTTTTTTTTTTTTTTTTTTTTTTTTTTTCATTAAAGAACAAGATGAATACTCGTCCAGAAGATTCGTCATTATCGAAACTTTTCTGAATTTTCTCTAGAAAAAAATATATATATATAACGATATTAAGAAAAGAAAAGGAAAAAATATCGACGATGCGGAACACGAAAAACATTCTATTTGTCAAAAATACCGAATGTCTCGTCGACGTTCGAAGCTTGTCACAATTCACCATCCACTCGACGGATTCTCGAAATATCTTTCCACGAAATATTCCAAGAGATATCGCGGGCTATTACGTATTTCGTTGTATTCCAAAGATTCGATAAGAAATATTCGGGAGAAATTCGCCTATAAGGTGTTTAAGATTTCCTAGATCGTAACGGTTATTCTAACCCGTGAAGGAGAAGAAGAGAGGGATGAATGGAAAGGATTGATATAAATGTTCTCTACTTACTAGGTTTGCTGCGATGCGTCTTTCGTGGCACGGCTGCTGGCAGCGCCAGGGCTATTAGCACGATGATCCAGAACCACCTCATAATTTCCGATTACGAACCTGGAACACACCGGGTTATGACGCGTTATTGAAAAAAGCAGAGACGAAGAAGCGAAACGGGGTTGGAATTTAAAAAAAGAAGAAGGGGTTATTGTTCCTTGACTCGTCATTATTTTTCAGCCGTGATGCATTTTCATAATTTTCGTAATTCATAAATATATTACGATGTATAAACGAGTAGCAACGTTTTTGCATCTCTCTTGGTTGCTGATTAAACGACCGTTTATTTTTCGAATAAACTGTTTCTGTCTCGTTGGAAAAACATTGAAAAAAATGAGACGAGACGATTAAATTTTGCGCGTTAATCTCGTTCTTGTTTTTAATTCGAATAATATTTTGCCCGCTACGTAATATTATTCCATACGAGGGGCGGAAATACGAGATTTATTCCCCGAACGAGGGCCATGAATCTTGTTTGCATGTCGAGCTTTTAGCACGCTATCTTTTTACAAAACATCTTTTATTCGGCCGGTGGAGAAAACGTTTTACCAAACCGTTTGTTATCAGTTAGCTTGAAATGTTGAATGCAAGCTTGAAAGCCAAAATATGTGTTTTATACTTTTTAAAAAGATGCGAATATAACGCTTTGAAAAGAAAACCTTTTTTTTTTTTTTTTCTATCAAAATAAAATTTTATACCACCTTTTATTCCACAATGAAAAAAAAAATACTCTTTATAAATAAAATTTAAGCGGTTATGCAAAAAGGTTTTTTTTTTTTCAAAAAAAGAGTAGAGATTCTATTTAGAATCAGAATTCATCCTCGACGAGGACTTTCTTTTCCTTTCCTCGCCATCCTCATTCTTCTATATTTATGTCTAAACAATAATCCCACCATCTATAAATCAATCGTACTCCTCCCTCTTTCCTCGAATTCCTAGATAAATGTTCAAAACTGTTGCAAAGTAGCTCGCCATTTTCCTCAGAAAAGTCATCGATTCCACGATTTTTATTTCACTTGTGCCTATAATTACTTCTTCAATACTTCTTAAAATCACTTCCGTCTCAGAAACAATAATTTCTCATCCGAATATATTTCACCCTCCTTCTCGACATCCGAATATCCGAAATATCAATCAAACTATCAATAATTCTCTTCGAGGAATTTTCCAAAGGATGGTAACCACCACGAAATTCCATTCAAATTCAAACATCTTTCCGAACTTTATTAAACTAAAATTAAATTCGAAATCGAAGGGGAAAAGAAGACTCGCTCGCTCGCACCCAATTACGCAACTAATTATCCCCCCTCCACTCCCCCTCCTCTCTCGATTTATCTTCTCTAAATGGCGCGCGCCTTTGGATTCCCAACGTCGGTTCTCTTTGGCTCGTCTCGAGAGCCAGAGCTTATATTTTTTTCGAGGTGTTCATTAAAGAAAGCCTCTTACCGGCCCCTTCTTATCTCGGCCCTTTTTCCGGGACGAAACGACACGGCCTCGTCTCGCACGCCCGCCAAACGAGGAGGCAGCCGGCCAGAAAAAGAGCAAAAAACTGGAAATAAGACGATCCAAAGACGATGCCAGGATAGAGATTTACGCGGCAGGCATTCTTCCTCTCTGAAATTCTCTCTCTCTCTCTCTCTCTCTCTCTCTCTCTCTCTCTCTCTCTCTCTCTCTCTATGATCGCGCGTATTTCACCTACGTAATTGTGAACAAGTTTGAATGAAGCATTTTGACAGTTTTAGGGGGGCAAGAGGGATTTTATTTTTGAAATATCATGGAACGAATGGAGTTAGGTTTTTTTTAAGCTTGGCTCAGTTGTTTCTTGAATATTTTTAAGAGTCGTGTTTATACCATGTGTTATTCATTTACCATGAAAGGAGTTAATGTATAATGAATCTTTTTAAATTTTTATTTTTATTTCGTATTTTTCCGTGTACGTGAATAAAATCTGAAAGTCAATTGAATAATATACGTTTCATTTTATTCTTCTATTTCGTAAAGACGCTTGTTCCAAATTTATACATCCATTATTTTCCAAATATTATTTCATTATTGTTCCCTTAATTAATAAATATAACACACCTATATACGTACGTTCCTGATCGAAATGAAAAACAATCAAAGATACAACCATCACGAGATATTTTCTTAAAAAAAAAAAAAGAAAAACCACAAAATCACTTTCGAAAGCTTGACTATACGCATGTTCGAAATGTAAAAGTGAAGATCGAAAGCGAAGAAAGAGAGAAAAAAAACTTTTCACGCACAAATTAGGTACTCGTAGCTCAGCGTTGAAATCAATTTCGATTCTCCGTGTATCCGTGGTTTTCACGCTCGAACGCGCCCCCCTCATTAATCACGATTGCCCGCATCAGCGGGAAATTTCATTATTTCTCCGGAGGCGACGTGTCCGGGTGTGTTGCGCGCTCCGCGCAACGGTACACCAAACGAAGACAGATTGGCGTTCCGCCGCTCCGTGGAAATCGCCTACAGCGCGAAAACCGACCGAAATCCGACCGTGTTAAACGCTCGTCTTCCCCAGCCGCACGACACGGCTATCTAGCCGGAAAATCAGCCGATTATGAGCGGCCCCTTCCCCCCCCCCCTGTGTCAATGAGGCAGGCTTGTTAAATGGATTTGCCCGATCAGCCGGAAATTTCGCTTTCGCGAGATTATTTATTTCATCGGCCACTTTTTGCGTCTGATTTATTTCGTTTTATATTCCTTCGAATCGATGAATATTTGAACCTTTCCTCGGAGGCATTGTGTAAGCAAAGGTAAGGTACGGTATTTGAAATCAGCGATTGTGAAATAAAATATTATATATTCGAATGGTTTCTTTTTGTGTGTTTGTGGGGGGGGGGGGGGAAGAGTTGTTGAAGAAATTTTAAGTTTTTTTCTTTCTTTCTTTCTTTCTTTCTTTTTTTATGTAGAATAATTTTAAATCAATTTTGTAAATTAGATGTTATACGGCAGTGAATTATTGGATGTATTTGTAATTTTTAGAAGGAAGATCAAATTTTTGAAAGGTGTCAAAAGATTCCATCCGTTTTATTCCATCCGAATTAAATATTATGAATAAAATAGGAGATAAATTTATTTCAGATAGGTGGTAGATATATTATTTGAGAATTTTATTCGATCAAATAATTTTTCTCTCTAATATTCGTGTAAAATTAAAAGTTTCAAATGTGCAAATCTTCCCCGATATTATTATATTCCAAAAATTACATCGCGAATCTATCGAGAAATAATTTGAACAATTTGCCTCGTTTTTCCTGTACTGAAGAAAAGAAATTTATTATCAAATAAATGAATTAACCAAAATTCTGAATCAGAATTCTCTTATCATTTTAACATCTATAAACTATTTTTAAACATTTCTACATTCAACTCTATAGCATTAAAAAAACTCATCCTTCCCCGATATCAACTTTATCAATCATTTTTTAAATCATTCTTCTCCAATACTTATCCACTTTTTATATTCAACTCTATATATTATATACATACTATATATATTTATTAAAACTCATCCTTTTCCAATATCAACTTTATCAACTTTATAAATCATCCTTCTCCAATACTTATCCACTTTTTATATTCAACTCTATATATTATATACATACTATATATATTTATTAAAACTCATCCTTTTCTAATATCAACTTTATCACCTTTCTACATTCCACTTTATAGCATTAAAACTCATCCTTTCCCAATATCAACTTTATCAACTTTTTAAATCATCCTTCTCCAATACTTATCCACTTTTTATATTCAACTCTATATATTATATATATACTATATATATTTATTAAAACTCATCCTTTTCTAATATCAACTTTATCACCTTTCTACATTCCACTTTATAGCATTAAAACTCATCCTTTCTCAATATCAACTTTATCAACTTTTTAAATCATCCTTCTCCAATACTTATCCACTTTTTATATTTATTTATTAAAACTCATTTTTCTCCAATATCAACTTTATCACCTTTCTACTTATCCATTTTTTACATTCAACTCTATATATATTATATATACTATATACATTACATACATTAAAATATATACTCTATATATATATACATTACTTATATAACTTTCCACATTCCACTCTATAGCATTAAAACTCAATATCTACATTTATCCACTTTCCACATTCCACTTTACGGCATTATTCGTCCGCTTATTTAGCTAAAACACTAGGCGAAAAACCTCTCGCGTTGAAGTAAAAGAGAGGAGGGGGTTGAAATTTTGCCAAATACGTGTCGTTCGAGGTACGTATCGCGAGAGGGTTGGTACGGGAATCGTCGATAGCCGAGGAGAGGTAAATGGTTCGTGAGTCAGTATCGTGTCTCGATTTCAGGCCCGAGCGATCAGAGAAAGCCGATAGAAAAAGGAGGTGGGTAAGAGGCACCACCCCCACCCTATATCCGCTCTATATATCTTAAACCATTTTGCATTCGCTCTATACGCCTATCGTCTGCGCGGAAAAAGGCTGAAAAAGGCGGCGGATTCCGGGAAAAAAGAAAATGAAAACGGAAGCGTATAAAAGCGTCTGCGCACGTCTGTTCGGGGGGAAAGGGGGAAGAGAGCGAAAAATATCTTTGACGTTCGATCTCGAGGACCTTTGCGTCTCGACTTTATTGCATATACCGATATGGCTGATCTTGCCACTGTGCGTGAGATATACTATATATATATATATCGGTGTTGATAGTGCAACGGTTTATGACGGTGAAACGTCGTAAAAAGCGTCATGAAAATTTGTAAAGAAGGATTTTTTTTTTATTCTTCTTTTTTTGTTTTTTTGTAATGGATGGTTTATGACAGGGGGGAGAGGGTGTATTGTAAGTAAAAGACGGTGTGAAAATTCGTCATTTCGAAATGGAGATTTCTTGTTTGGAAATTTGTTTGTATTTGGAATGTGTATTTGGGAGATGTATTGTTCCTGAAATCATGTTGGTATAGTAAAATTTGTGAAAATATTGTGCTTGAAAATTTGAAAAAATAGGAATGGATGTAATGTAAAAAATGGTATATAAAAAACTT